CATACCTAGCTATTTTGACTAAACTAAACTGAAAAAGTTCTAAATAGTCTAAGTATAGAGTATGAATAAATTTAATATCCCTAATATACCTTGATAATGTACAGCAACACTAATGTACATGCATAGTACGTTTTGATGGTAATCACATTTTGACGCACATAGCACGTTTACATACATATATACATTTTTACATACATAGCACATTTTAATGATGAAAAAGTGTTATACAGTCGTTTTAACTTTGATAAACCAACGTTAAAAAAAACTTCATTTTAAACGTTGTATCAGCGTAAATTCAACGTTGTTGTAATGTTTTTTCGCGTCGAATCAACGTTGATATAACGTTTAAACCTAACGTTGATTTAACGTTGACAAATCAACGTTGAAAAAAACTTTCATTCTAAACGTTAAATCAACGTAAATTTAACGTTAAGTTTCAACGATATTTCAACGTTATTTGCCGGCTGGGCAGGTACTCCGCTAGGCAATTAGCTGGAGGAGTATAAATCACAATACCGAACTTATTTTATAAAAACCCATTTACGTTTCTCAAATGTAATTACGTCTCAAAGCTTTTCTCAAAATTTAAGCTAAATTCAAATTGACTCGTTTTCGAAAAATCTTTTTTTTATTTAAAGTCAAATCAATTTTTTTAAGTGCGGCCGTGGCGCAGTGGTTACAGCGCTTGCTTTATAAGCAGGAGACCCAGGTTCGTAACGAGCTCTGGATATATTTTCGCATCACGGTAAGGAAGGAGGCGTGAACTTCCTGGATAAATGCACTTCAGCGGTGCTCCGTGATAAGACCGTAAGGACTTCTGGGAGCATCTAATTAACAAAAAAAAAAAAAAAAAAAAAAAAAGTTCAAAGACTCCATAATAGTGCTATTAATGTCATGTATTAGTGGTAGTAGAACAGTTTTAAATTGTATTTGAAAATTATTTTTTTAAACATTAAAGAGAACTTAAACAAAAAAGTTACTAATTCAGTTTTAAAAGACTTGAAATTTTTTTTTTATATATTAAAATGTTTTTTAAAGTGTATACGTTATTTCAATTTTTATAAACCCACAAAAAAAAATGTATATAAAACGACACGACTCAAAGATGACCTTAAAACATTAATATTGTAGCCAAATCTAAAGTTTGTCTTCACTTATTTACATCTGACTAATACTTTATATGTTCAAAATCCAAATTTTATATGAAATAATTCTCTTGAAATATAATAATTGTTTCATATAAATTATTTATATAAATAATTTTATATGAAATAAGTCTCCAAATGGTCCAGTGGTTTCTATAATTGTTTCATCTTTTTCAAAGCAAACAATCCAAATTTTATTTCGGTTATCCTTAAAGTTTAATTTACATTAAACCACAAGGTTAATTGTTGGAATAGGTATAATTGAAATACTGGTGACCAGAAATACCTAACTTATCGGTTATTTTTTTAACGTTCATATTAAAATGTTTGTTATAAACTTTATTTTTACAAATCGTTCAATAACTGAAACGACAACAAGCTTTTAAAATATGGAATAACCTTGAAATAATTTCTTAATTTGGAAATACTGCAAGACTATTACATTTTTTGAAATACATTTTATTTTATTTTAAAACTTTTAAAGAAAATTAAAATTTTAATAAGAAGTAACTCTTAAGATTAAACAGTTTATCAAATTAAATTAATAATTACATCAACAAATAATTACATCAACAAATAATTACATCAGCAAATAATTACATCAACAAATAATTACATCAACAAATAATTAAATCAACAAATTACATCAACAAATAATAATTAAATTAAAAATAACATCAACAAACTTTGTTGAATTTTATTGTGAATATAAAGGGAAAATAAAAGACTTTAATAAGTATTTTTACAAAAATTATTTATTTTTTAAGATCTCGAAATAATTTTACCTAAGTGTTATTTTCTGAAAGTAGGAATAATCACGGTTTCAAAAACGTATGACATGACCATGAGACATATTTTTGGTTTGAACAACTTCTCTTTGGGCGTGATCAACTTACGGTATTAACTTTTTATATAACGTGAACGTTGAATCCTAAAAATGATTGATGAGAATATTACTTGGAGAAAACATATTGATCATATAAACACAAAAATTTCTAAAAATATTGGCATTTTATACAAAACCCGAAATTATCTAAACAAAAAAAACTTAATCCAACTCTACTATTCATTTACACATAATTATATAAATTATGCAACCATCGCCTGGGGAAGTACGGATAAAAGTAAGTTACAACATCTTTATCGCCGTCAGAAACATGCAATCCGCGTAGTTAATATGCGGATCGCTTTTCATGTTCAAAATATTTTTTTGATTATATGAAGGTTCTAGATGTTTATAAACTGAACATATTTAATGTCTTATGTTTTACTTTTATATGGAAAAACGATTTATCTTTATTTGTTTTTAACGACCTTTTTTCTTTAAAACCAATTAATAAATACACTTTAAGAAATAATAGTTTTTTAAATGAACCTTTTTTTAGAACTAAGTTCAATCAATTTTGTATTGCACATCGTGCACCCCATTTTGGAATAAAATAGTATTACCAAATTTTGATCCTTCTATTACTCTTCCCGTTTTTAAAATTAAGTTAAAAAAGTTCATTCTCTCTATGGACAACATTCTAAAATTTTTTTAAAAATGTATGTGAAATGTATTTGTTAAATCTTCAACTTATTATATATTAAAATGTGTTGTATTTTGCATAATGTAAATACGTTAAATTTTCTATATATGTTATAAATAAATATTTTTACTTTTTGAGGTTCCGATGATAAGATCCTTATGATCTTCTTTTGGAAACCTAGTTTTATATTGTTAGTACGACCTAAATGTATTACGACTTACGTTTATGTATTACGACTTATAAATTTTGTAACACGACTAACATTGTAAACTGAAAAAAAAAAAAAAAAAAAAAAAAAGTTTTTATTCAAATATCTTCTCATTTACAATTTTTTCACAATAATTTTGCTTTTGTTTTTAAGTTTTTTAAATCTTTTATTCACAATTCCATAAAAGTTTCTTTAATTTGACGGATGTGAAAAGTTTTAATATCACTTGATAAAACACCTTTGATTTTAAATATCAATATATAATTACTATCACGTTTTAAAACTTCATTACTTTTTACAACTTCATAATAATTTCAATCACCTATAATATAATACGTTCTCACGACATAATAAAAAGTTATGAAGAAAATTCTAAACATTAAAGAAATTAGAAAACTTTCTTTTACCATAAGGCACCTAAATACATAATAAATACATACCTTCTATTACTCTTCCCGTTTTTAAAATTAAGTTAAAAAGATTCATTCTTTCTATGGACAATATTCTAAAATTCAATTAAAAATGTATGTGAAATGTATTTGGAACCTTAAAATTCAATTAAAAATGTATGTGAAATGTATTTGGAACCTTAAAATTCAATTAAAAATGTATGTAAAATGTATTTGGAACCTTAAAATTCAATTAAAAATGTATGTGAAATGTATTAGGAACCTTAAAATTCAATTAAAAATGTATGTGAAATGTATTTGGAACCTTAAAATTCAATTAAAAATGTATGTGAAATGTATTTGGAACCTTAAAATTCAATTAAAAATGTGAAATGTATTTGGAACCTTAAAATTCCATTAACAATGTAAGTGAAATGTATATCGGAACCTTAAAATTCAATTAAAAATGTATGTGAAATGTATTTGGAACCTTAAAATTCAATTAAAAATGTAAGTGAAATGTATATCGGAACCTTAAGAAATAAAAATATTTATTTATGTTATAAATAAATATTTTTATTTCTTAAGGTTCCGATGACCGTACTAGCAATATAAAACCTAGTTTTACATTGCTAGTACGACTTAAATGTATTACGGCTTACGTTTATGTATTACGACTTATAAATTTTGTGACACGACTAACATTGTAAACTAATAAAAAAAAAATAATTTGCATTTAAACTGTTAGTAGTTACAATTTAAATGTAACGCAAATTTAGATCGCAAAAGGAAATTAAAAAAAAAAAAATAGTTTTGTTTATATACGGGGAGTTTTTTAGTTGCAATATTAATAAATTGATAAAAAAAAAAAACTACTTCCTCTAAAATATGATAAATAGAATGTTGTATTTTCGTAACAAAGTTAAATGTTTCACACTTAACCTTATTCCGAAGCTAACAAGGAGCTCTTTCAATTACAGCATCTCCCTTCTATTTTTTAGTTAAAATGAAAATAAATTCACAATTAACTTGATTAAGTTAAGAAACTCTCGTTAAAATTGCCTTTTATTTTGCATATAATATATATATTCGTTGAAATGTGACCGCTTTTTAAAATGTAATTCGTTAAAATTTTAATTTAAGATATTTGACATAAACCCATAAAAAACTTCTTTAATAATGACATTATCAATAAAATAGCATGTTACTAGTAAGTAAGCGTTTTTTACCATGAAGATGTAAAAAAAAGAAAAAACCACTTAGTTTATTATAAGTATTCCATGATAGTCTCAACCATTCGGAAAATTTGAAATTTTAATGTTTGTGCTAATATATAAATTTCATAAAATTAAATGTTTCATAATCCTATTATTTTAATTATTTTCAATGAGTAATTTCCATAACTTGTAATCAGTTTCACAATTTTATTTTATTATGACACTTAATCGTGTAATATTTTTGAGTTTTGATAATTTTTTATTATCGATAAGTTTTATAATAGGTTTTTAAATTAAGTATTTAAAAAAATAAAATTATTGAAACCTAAAAAAAAAGATATTATTACTCTACGGATACTAGATACGATACGAAAAATTATTTCAAACTCAATAAATTGAAAATACAATATAAATAAATACACATATTGTTTAAGAAAAAAACATATTAACTTAAGGTTTTACTTTTTTTTGAGTTTATAACAATTATTAACGTACAAAACAGAAGCATATTAACTAAAATGTTTGCAATTTAAGTAAAACTAAATAGGTTTTTGTTAACTTCATTGCCAAGGTAAATACTAAAACTCCATTTACAAAGTTCAGCAAGAAGCTGTTCAGTTTTTTAAAGTAGTGTCTACATCGATTGCAGAAGTTGAACTTGGCTCGCTTATTATTTGAGTGACATCTTGCAGAGGTTCTGATGAAAACGTAACTAGATCAGTTTTGCTTGCATCTGCATTTATAGTTGTAGGAAACTCAATATCAGAAGTGGAAGAAGTTGATGCAAGTTGTTCAGTTTCATTTAAAAGTAAAATGGTAATTTTTGCTATATCATGTGCAGAATTGGATATCAACTCCTCAACATGAGTGGTGACCAAAGGAGATTCAGTTACAAAAGTACCAGTTATATTCACATCAGCAATATCAGACATAAACGAATGAGTTGTAGGAGTTAATGTTGCATCACTTAACATCTGAGTAGGTAATATTGGAGTTTCGCTAGCAGTTGTTAGTTGTTCAGTTTCTTTCATTACTGAAGCAGTAAGTTTTGATACAACTGTTATAGAACTTAAAGAAAAGCTTTCTAATATATTATTGGTTGTTTGTGGAGAATCAGTTGCAAGCGCGAGTATATCAGTTTTGTTTGCAACTGTATCAATTATCGGAGGTAATTCAGTTGCAGAAGTTAAAGCTTGCGGAGTTTCGCTTTGCTGAGATTCAGTAGCAATGGAAAGTATAGGTTTGGTGAGAGTTGCAGTATTTAAGGTTTGGGCTGCAACAGTAGCAGCTAATGGCAAATCAGTAACTTGCAATGAAGATACTTGACACAAAGTCGAGCTTTTTAAACATGTTTTGATGGTGTTATCCCAAGCTAATGAAAAAGGGCAACTTAGTGATAATTTTTGACCATTGCTGCATATAAAGAATTTATTACAGTTGTTTGGATCGGGGTAGTATTTGCCGTTGTCACAAGTTGTTGAAGCTGTAAAATAAAATGCAAAACATTCAAAAAGTTGACCCACAAAAAAACAAAACGCAGTGAAAAACGGTGACACAACGATCGTTTTATAAAAAGCTTACATCTTCAAACTTTAAATGTTTGAATAAGTTCATAACATAAATTTACATCTTCAAACTTTAAATGTTTGAATAAGTTCATAACATAAATTTACATCTTCAAACTTTAAATGTTTGAATAAGTTCATAACATAAATTTACATCTTCAAACTTTAAATGTTTGAATAAGTTCATTACATAAATTTACATCTTCAAACTTTAAATGTTTGAATAAGTTCATAACATAAATTTACATCTTCAAACTTTAAATGTTTGAATAAGTTCATAACATAAATTTACATCTTCAAACTTTAAATGTTTGAATAAGTTCATAACATAAATTTACATCTTCAAACTTTAAATGTTTGAATAAGTTCATAACATAAATTTACATCTTCAAACTTTAAATGTTTGAATAAGTTCATAACATAAATTTACATCTTCAAACTTTAAATGTTTGAATAAGTTCATAACATAAATTTACATCTTCAAACTTTAAATGTTTGAATAAGTTCATAACATAAATTTACATCTTCAAACTTTAAATGTTTGAATAAGTTCATAACATAAATTTATTGAAAAACTTTGATTATGATTAATATTGAAAAATTATTTTAAATTTCAAAAAACATTAAAGCTTTTTTCAATTTTTTAATTCTATTAAAAATTGTATAAAAAGTATTTATTTATTTTAACTCGTTAAAAATATAATACATTACATTTATAAAATTAAATAAATGAATGAAAAAAAATTACCTTGAGGCAGCGGTATAGCTTTACTTAGTACGACAGTGCATAGTAAAACAAAACTGTTCCATGAAAGACTCATTTTTAATTAACGTGTTAGATAATGTTACTGGTTTCTACAGATTTAGAATTTAATAAAATGATCAGATTTATTTTCTATTTAAGATCTTTTTTTGCAAAATTTACTTGCGTCAGTAACTTACTACTAGCCACCAGAATTTTAATTTATATTGTTTGCAATTCATTACAACTTGATATTGGTTACAAATAATTAACAATTACGTCGTATTAATCTAATTGGTTTAGATCAAAAATGAAACATTGAAACAAGTCATTAATTGGCCATTAGTGTTAATTAATAGTTTGTTAATAAAAATAAACCATCAAAAGAAAGCCATAAGGGCTAGCATTTTTGTAAAACCAGAATATTACATTTAACAATACATTCAATGGGATTGATTATTAACAACCTTCATTATAATATTATAATAGTTGTTAAGGCTGATAATATATATATATATATATATATATATATATATATATATATATATATATATATATATATATATATATATATATACATATATATATATATATATATATATATATATATATATATATATATATATATATATATATATATATATATATATATATATATATATATATATATATATATATATATATATATATAGCATACATTAATTGGCTTAAGCCAACTATGTGTATAGTAACGTATTGCATCTTCTAAAATCGTGTGCAATCCTGTCCACTTTCTCTATGCTATTTTTCTAACTCATCTACTTCTGTCTTTCACTCTAAAATATCTTCGTTCTTTTCAAAATCACTTACTGGTCCGTAGAGCGGGTTATGACGCTTCTAGGGGAGCCGAACTTGTCTTAGCGGACCATGGTAATGTGGCCCCTGGATGGCAACAAGCAGGAGGAAGATAAACCACAATACCTATATATATATATATATATATATATATATATATATATATATATATATATATATATATATATATATATATATATATATATATATATATATATATATATATATATATATATATATATATATATATATGTATATATATATATATATATATATATATATATATATATATATATATATATATATATATATATATATATATATATATATATATATATATATATATGCTAACAGTATCAGCGTTTCCCGCACTTCCTCTATAACTTACGTGGGTAAACAATTTCAAGTAAACAGAGGAAGTAAACATAGGAAATGCAGGCTGAAATTGTCAGATTTCACTTATATCTGTTCTAGTTAATTCCTTTTTTATTTATTTATTTTTTTTTTTTTATAAGGGGAATTTTTAAGGGAAAATAAATTTTATTTATTTATTTTAAATTCATTTGTTTAATCGATACTAATCTTTCGCTCGTAATCGATGAATAAACAATAATTCTTCAATCGTAGAAAAAGAGATAATAAAAATTAGTTTATTGGTTTTAACGCGAATAAATTGAAGTTTTTTTATTTTAAAAATGCATGACTGTAGACAACTTTTTTAACCCGGAAAGAAGGAGGAGGGGGGGGATGGGGGAGGGGGAGGAGCTATGAAGGAGGGGAGGGGCGCAAGTAATCTGTCTTTTAACAATAAAACTTTTCATTATTCTGTTGCAATTAGAGTTGTCAAATATAGTGAAAATGCCTGCTTTGGTACCCATCGAACAAATTGGCGGGTACCCGGCTAACCCACAAAAAATTTATTTTTTCTAAAAAGTTGTTTTTACGAAGACTTAATATTATAAAATCTTTCAAACCAATGATGTCACATAGTTAAGAAATTGTAAGTGCTACCCCAAGCAATGTTTGCATAGTTAAAATGCTCTTATCCAAGCGAATAAATTAAAAGCAATCCAGGGTAGGAGAAGACCAGCTAAACTTAGCAGCATCAAGCAAGTTCAACAAAGGAATAGAAAGAAACCAGTCATACCAATCCCTATTAATGATATTAGGTATGATCATATAGGACACTGGCCAAAACCACAAAAAGATAAAAAAAGATGCAGGCTGTGTCAGAGTTATAGCAGAATGATGTGTGCAAAATGTAATGTTTTCCTTTGTTGTTAGCTAATCGCAACTGCTATGTAGACTTCCACAATTGAATAAAACTATATTTAGTGCTTACATACATTAGAATAAACATGTTTTTTGAACAAAAAGTTTTCTGCCTGTGCTGTTTATATATAGTTCAATAAAAATATTTTATAACTTTGTTTTCAGATATTATCTTTATTGACCGATGATGCCATATGGCATCAAACCCAAATTTGACCAAAATTACAAAGTTTTGAATATTTTTTTTCAATAACTTATTTTGTTAACTTAAATTGTTAGTATAACAAAAAATAATATTTTTTTACATTAATTTGTCATAATTTGGCCTGTAAAGGATTAATTTCAGGGAAATTAGTGTCGTAAATATCGTAGAAAGTTTTAAAAAAGGAGTTATAAACTAAGTTTGTATCATCAGAGGTGTTAAAAATATTCTAATCAATTAGAGATAATTGTTCTTTAAAAGATTCAAGGTTGTCATTTGTAAATATGCGTTTTTTAAAAACTCGCTTTTCATTAGGAAGTAATTTATTATCTGTATTTATAGAAAAGAAAATAGGTATATGATCAGAAATGTCATTTTTAATTATGTCCCTTTTTAAGGATTCGTTAAAAACATCAGTGGTTAAAATATTATTAATTAGAGAGGCACTTGATTGAGTAATTCTTGTCGGTTTGCTAATCAAAGGAATCGAACCATTTTCAAAAATGCCATTATAAAATCTTTTAATATTATTATTGACGTATTTTTGAAACAATCTAAATTCAGATCACCCAATAAGTAGATAAACTTATTTTCATGGTTACTTTTTTTAATAACGTCATTACATAAAAAGGAATTAAAATTTTTGATTTCACCTGAAGGTGGGCGATAACAATAACTTAGAATTATGTTATTTATTTTATTGGTTAAAATTTCAATCGTTAAAACCTCTTTATCAGCATCAGAGATGCTCATGTCATACCTGGTAAAATATCGTAAGTTATTTTTAACATAAATAAAAACGCCTCCGCCAAACATATATATACATACATACATACATACATATATATATATATATATATATATATATATATATATATATATATATATATATATATATATATATATATATATTATATATATATATATATATATATATATATATATATATATATATATATATATATATATATATATTGCATACATTAATTGGCTTAAGCCAATTATGTGTATAGTAACATACTGCACCTTCTAACATCGTGTGCAATCCTTTCCGCTTTCTATATGCTATCTTTCTAACACGACTTCTTCTGTCTTTTACTCTAACATTCTTCGTCCTTTCTAAACTCACTTTACTCTTGGTCCGTAGAGAAGGTAAAGACGCTATTTATTAGCTGAACTTGTCTTTGCGGTATATATATATATATATATATATATATATATATATATATATATATATATATATATATATATATATATATATATATATATATATATATATATATAAATTTTTTTATGTTTAGTATGTAATGAATCTGTTTTAGAGTGCATAGAATATAAATTAATGAGGCACCATGATTCATAACATTTAAAAAACTTAGCCAGTTTCTTTTTTTTTTTTTTTTCTGAATATTATCTTTTTTTTTTTGCCGTATAACAAAATTTACAATGAGGAAGATCTTACATATATAAAAAATGGAGAAGACTTAAGCTGTTACAATTTAAAAATTATAAAGATAAAAATAAAATACATTATTAGTTCTACAAATATAGAAAACACAAGTAATAAATCGTAAAATTTTTTTTTGTTTTTTGTTTTGTTTGTATCTTTAAAATTCATAGTATATATATTTTATTTTTATGAGAAATAAATAAGATACACATCAAGACAACAATAAATGAGTAATGATGACTTTTTCAGGTTTAATTATTTTAGGAACTTTTAAAAGAAATATAAAAAGAAATATTGAAGTTTTTTCTAATAGAAAGCGTTTAGATTCTCTTTTGAATTGATCTAAGGAGATGTTCTTAGAATTGTTCTTAGAAGAATTTTATCTTTAATAATGTTTTTTCAAAAACTTTTCCATATAAATGGTCCACGGTATTGAATTTGGAATGAATTGAGTTTTAAATAAGATCTTGGAATAACAAAATTATCAGATGGGCATTAATGAGATATTTCTGCAAAGTAGAAGGGAAATATATTAGGAGATAACGCATGTTTTGATTTAAACGTAAAAAGCATAACTTGGTATATATTAAGTTTATAAACATTAAGCACGTTAAGTTTTCTTTAAAAGAGATTCATCATTAACAGTTCTGTTAACGCCAAATATAATTCTGCATGAATGTTTTTGTTTGCTGTTAATTTTTTTGAGCTTCCCATAATTGGTACTTCCCCATGCATTATTACAATAGGAAAGATAACTATGAATAGGGGAAGTCGGGGTACAGTGGATTGAGGGGCACAGTGAATAGCATTTTCTCAAAGATTATGATTTTGTTTATCACGATGATCTAATCAGTTTATGTGCGCATATATCACCCATCTTTATTTATAGGTGTTACCACATAATTTTTGACTCTTGGTTTTTGATAGATAATTTTTGTTTTTAGCTAAATAAAGTAAATGTTCTTACCATCTTTATGTTTGTTGTTGAGATCATGGTTAAAATCATTTTATAAGTTAAAGTTTTATATTCGGAATACTGATATTTATGCTTCATTTTAGTATTTTTGCTTTTCCTTTAATAACACTCATGTCCCAAGAAACTAAACTTGAACCTAATTTTTTATGGTGGGGCACAATGAATCGTGGTACCGTGAATCAGTTGATTCACTGTGATAAAAATGTTTATAAAAATTAAAATGTTTATAAAAATTAAAAATTCACTTTTAAAAATTTCTTTTGTAGTTGGTTAAATAAGTTTTATTAGGTAATACTTTTTTTTGTGATTATAGATGGTTGAATAAGTTTTTTTATCAATAAAATTTATTTTTTATTTTTTCAATCAGAAAAAATTTAAATTATTTAATTTTAATTACCAAAAGTGTGCCAAAAGTATAGCGTACA